TCCAGGAAAGTTATACTCATATATTTATAAATATTTTTTAAATTTAGGACTGATTTTCACTAGAATACCAAAAAATGCACATGGCTACCCATATTTAACTGGAGATCATGGCACCACTGAAAGTGCTTCCCAAAGAAAAAGTGTTCTGGCTTTTTTTTCATCATCAAAACAAATCATTTTTCCTTTTCCCTCCATTTTGGAAATGGCAAGACCATTCTAGATCAAATCATAAAGTACAAAAAGCCACATATCAGCCAACATCACCAACAGCCAAATAAAATAAATCTATACATATTATCCTCTACATCTGTTCCCTGGCACGTGTCAACTGATACTATTTAATTTTTTACACAACACTTTCTTGACCAAATTTAGAAGATGATGCAGAAGGTACTTGGCACCCTTATGATCAATTATTCTGAAGTGTCTTGCTGTGCCATAGGTCTGCATGTACATTGTGCTAAGTACTAACAAGAATGTACACTCATATATCCCACCAGCAGTTTGCTAACCACAAATGTCTGCAGTTTGCACAGTTCCCAAACATCCACATTCTCTATAGATTCACATACTCCAATAGCATAAACCATTCTGACAGAAAGGATGGGGAATGCATTGTTCAAGAGACCCAATAAGGCTGCATTCCTGCTCCAAGCAGTCTTCTAACAATGTAAATACAATGAACATTTAAGTATGCCCATAAAAGAGCAAAAAACTCACCAAACAAATTTGCCTAGAAAATGTTCTCTTTGCTGCAGCCACCCTGATCAGCTGGAAGGGAACTTTTTAAACACAACTACTGAACACTAAGTTTGTCAGATTGATGGCTTTCTCCTCTGAATTTTGTATCATTCTCTGGTGAACCAAATGCTCACTGCAAGGACGTTTAGTACTGCTAGGTTTGAGGCCATGGTTTAGGGCAGAAGAACAAGGTATGAAAAGTCTACAGGAATCAATATGATCCTTATGTGAGCTGCAGTTAAGGCATACAGAGGGTGAAGCTGGGTCTTATTTCATTTCCCCTCTGCATCACTGCTATCATGGTCAGAGGCTACTCAGCAATTGGATGGGGAATTTGGTGATGGGAAATATTGTTCTTCCTTGCTTTCTCCCAGGATGGTATTCTTGATTTTCCTGTCCTTTTTTTTCAGTGGTGATGGATTCTCAAGTATAGCACATAGGCCTATGTTTCTGTAGTGTGAAGCATCTTTCATGCTTGGGAGATCTCAACCAACAGCTAATAAGAAGAACAGAATTAATTTTCCTTATGAGCCAAGGCTTTGTTTAGATGCAAGGATGGGAGATTCTGACTCTTCTTACTGAGAGATTTTTCCTCAACTACTTCTTAAAGTTATAACAGTCTTGTTATACTGACTTATTGTTGCACAGATAATCACCACACACTGGAGCACCACTTGTGTAATCATCTAATCATGTAAAAGACAAAATTAATGCAGAAGTTTCCTTAAGAGACTTTTTAAAAAGTCCATAGTCTCCATGGAAATGCAACAAATACAGACATTTCTTGCGAGCCTACTACTTTAGCGACACTTTTAACATGTGCTCACTATGCACAGTCAGCCTTCTATTACATAGTAATACTATTTGATCTCTGGAGAGCTCAGATTGTTATGGACAGCGTTGAAACTTCTTAAATTCTATTAAATATTTGTATGCTGAAATTCATGTTGAAAAGAAGGCTGAAACATAGAGCTCCTCTTCCTCTCTTCATTTTAAGAGAGATAACTATTAAAATGCAAACTACATGCAGAGCTATTTGAATTCAGAGAAAAGCAAAGAATTCTATTGTTCAAAATGTTAACAGTTTTGACATGCAGTTGCTGCTCCAGGATAACCTTTGATTTGTGGAAAGTATTTACTTGGTCATGTTTCCAGTTTCAAAAACTATCACCCTAGAGCCACATAAGTTTTGACTCAAATGACAAAATTTTTTGTCTACATCCAGAAAATGGCAAAATATCTCTATGTACGTCATATTTAGTCTCCCTTGTGTAACTGGGAGACTTTTTTTAAGGATACTGCTTAACTGTATGGTTTGAAAATAGCCTGTAAACTAACCTTAGCTTATTGATAAGGACTTAAGGAAAGTATTAAGCTTATTAAAAGATGGTTAGATTACAGCCTATATTATGTGAACAGGAAAAGAGCAGGTTTTGGCTGAGAATCACTCCTTTAAAAACAACAACAACCTCCAAAACCAACCAACTGAAATAAAATCCCCAACAACCAAAAAAAAGAAATAGACCTATACAAACAAAAAAAGCTAAAATAGACACATTTACCACATGCTGTAAACTGAAATGTCCTGTGGAGATGTGTGTCTGTCTCCTTCAACGACAGGGGGAATTTAGGTGCCTAATGAATTGCCTGAGATTACAATGGGTGAATCTGAGGCCTTATTATTTAGGTGGGCTAAGGCACTACAGCAAACAAATTCTGACAGCTGAACATAGAAAATGTGAAACTGGAACAACAGGGAACCACTAGTTAGGAAACACTAGAGATCAGTGTGTAAAACACATCAGTTTAGATGCAAGAGATTGTGGAAGGGGCAGTTTCTCTGAACACCACAGTCCAGATTAACCACAAACTATTTAACCACATGGTATCTGACTACGGATCTTTACCCATGCTCGTGAGGTTTTGTTTATGCAAGAGTTTCCCGTGACTTGACCTGTACTGCTTGCAGATGACAGGTTTGTTCAAAACAGGTAGTACTAGTGTAATCTGGTCATATGTGTCTATACTGCAAATATTAAAGCTCCTTTTAGAAATGATATGCATCTTGACAGTCGTAATTCTCAGGGTTAATGGCTTCTTCAACCAAGTGCTTTGGGATGTGGGTTACTCAAACCTCTTCCTAAGTAAACAATGCTGTTAGAGGTTGAGGGCGATGGAGATTCTTCCTTTTCCCACTTCATGTTTTCTGGAGAGGAGCTAATCGCCAAAATTTTAGAATTGCCTTTACCAGAAGCTAGCTCTTGCCCTTCTCAAATGGTGCCTTTTTCTCTGGTCTCTGTTAAAAGACAGATTAATGAAACCATTCACTTTGGCATGTCAAGGTCTATGTGTCAGCCATGCATTTGTTCTTATTATCCTTTAACCTTGGGATGCTGTAAAAGCAGATACTGACCACCTGCTACTTTGGAAGACCAGACAGAAAAGCTACTAATATCTCCTCTAGGCATGGCACAGCACAGAAGAGCCCCTGGCTCCTCCTCATCAGTGCAGCATTTATTTCTAAGGAAGCAACATATCAAGTTAATGATTTTTATATTGGTTTCTCATTTCTTGATAGTACAAAACTGAGGAAATTAATTGGTGGAAATTTTTTTAAAGTATTTAAATGTGAAACTCACCTGCTGAAGTCAGTCTGACTTATCTGTAGGAAGTGTCAGTCCAGACAGCCTGCTGGATTGAATAATTCTTTTGCAATAATGCTAGATATTGGGGTTTTTTAATGTACTAGAAATATTTACCCAGCAAAGGACAACACAGTTTACAGTGAGGGCTGGTGGTGAGAACAGCTGTGCTACCATGGGGGAAATCTCAGAAAGCAGCTCACGTGTGGATGGCAGGTCCTTCTGACAGGCACACTACAAGTACGTGTACACAGGGTTTTCAGTCATGCATACTTGTTCTCCTACGTGAAAGAGAAATGTAGACCTCCTGCTTCCCACAGTACTCTACCAAGGTAGAGGAAAAGCCACTAAATTATTGCTGTCTAGAACATCAGGCACTGCCAATCAGTGTATTATGAATTCAACACTGTACTGTAAATTATATAGGATCAATGATACCAAAAGCCTTGTTAGTTTCATTATTCTAAAAGAACCCAGGTGTTTGGGAAAAAGAGAAGAGACACTATCTTAATGGGAAGCTCTGGGAGAAGTAACAGTATCAAAATCCCTCCAAAATTTCAGAAAAGTTTGTGCATGAACCTGTCTATGTGACGATGATTTTAATCAATATATGAAACTTAAATTTTTGCAGTTAAGACTACTAAATCCCTCCTTCTATAAATTAATTTCAGACAAGACAAGTGTATTTGGCCTCATCTGGTCCAAGTTATGTTGATTCCTAAAATAAGAAACAGGGAAGAGACCACTGCACACTGAGAGGTAGACAGGCAAAGGTAGGGAGGACCTAGGATACTTCTAAGATCACAGGAAGACAGGAAGGAAGAATCACACAGGAAGACATTTAAGGATGACATGGCCCACACAAAGTAGGCTTCCAATAATCCCAGACTGAAATTTTTATTTTAAACTATCAGGATAGAGTGGTAATATTTTCTTCCATTTTAAAAGTGCTAGGGAATTTTCTTATTCCTTCTGATGTAGAACATTTGCTTTTAAGTTGCATGACAAGTTCTCATCACTGTTCTTGCACAGAAAAATTACTCTGCATGCATATTTTAATGAAAATACTCACTTGAAAATGCTGGTCATCATATTTTCAATACATGTGTCTGTCATATTAGAAGGAAGCATACTGTAGGTAACTAAGGTTAATAATAACACTTCAGAAATTACATTATGCCTCATTCCAATACATGAAAAATAATTATTGTGGCAAAGGGATCCTTTTTTTACAGTAGACTAACAAATTAAAAAAATGGACACTTACAAGAATCAGAACAATTTCTGGCTTGAAGAAAATAGATCTTAAAAAGAATAACAATATGTATGTTTCAGGCTCTGCTTAATCACAGGAAGGAACCCCTGATATACTTTTTTTCCCCCTCACTGTAATATATCAGATGGTGAAACTTTGAATTTTTAAACTCTGGTGTTTGTCTATGTTGTCAACTACTCTTGCTAGGTGTTGGAGGAGACGGACCATTTTCCTGCTTTGGTAGGTCAATAATTCATGACAGAACTCTACTGTATTCTGCTTCAGGAATGCATGGCAAAACTGCGGGGGTCAAAACACTTTTCACTGTATTTTCTTTAGTAATACATTTACCCAGGACCCACGGTAATATCATCCACTCGACGATGGTTGGTGGCGGTCCCTGCATGCTCAGGTCTGACCTGTCGATGTGCTGAGAGGCAAGCAACAGCAGGAACAGAAAAGTCAAGTAGGATGCAGTATGGCAGATAAATTTGATAAATGGCTTTCTGATGAACAGCCCTAACGGGCTTTTAGGAGCTATCAGGTAGCACACAGAGAAGATTGGAAAAAGGAGTCCTATCACAACACATGTCAACATCTTCACAGCCCAGTGTCGCCTCCGCCATCCGGGGAACTCGTCGTACCAGCGGGATGCGAGCAGCTGCTGGCAGTTGGGCTGAGCAACAAACTACAGAGAGAAGAAAGGAAGACAATTAGTTTTTTGTTACCTCTGTAAAGTTCTTTGCATGCTATGTCAGTTAAGTAATTTTTAGATAGAGATTTAAAAAGAAAAAAAATCCATAGCCTATGCAAGCTCACCCATACTGACAATACCAGTAAGACAGGGCCAGGTCAGCCTGCCTTTCCTTCAACACAAAAAGTATAGTACAAAGCTATCAGCATTTACTTTTCACAGTAAAGCTTGACTTCCCCATACAAGGAGCCAAAAGACTGCAACACAAGTATTTCCATTATTTAACCAGCAACATTTCTGGAGAATTCACAGAACATGAGGTGGAAGTCAATATGAAACGAACAGCACAACTGAAATCTGTAAGCAGTGAAACTGAATTCCACAGCCATGAACAAACTCTTCTCAGTATGTTCCCTGCTAACTCTCTAAAAATCAGGCTTACATGCTTTAATACTGACAAAACTCTTAAAAATACATGACAAAAGTCTTTCACGATAGGAACTAAGCATTAGCATTCCCCACTGTTTCACTAACCCTTGCCAGGATATACTCCTGTCCTGTGCAATATTTTATGCTCTGTCTGATCCTTAAAATTTAATTTCATCAAAAAACCTCAAACTCATATTTAATAGTTTTCAGATAGCTTTTTACAGGAGCTTTAAGTATATTCAAGGTTTTATGTCATACCTTTCTCTGATCACTAGTTCCCGTTTCCCTAATGTGACACAGAGTAACCCTATCCTAGAGTTGACACAAAACGCATAAAATAGAAACAAACACAAGCCTCCACAACAAACAATAAAACAACAAAAAAACAAACCAATTGCATAAAACAAACAAATAAGTGGGAAAAAACAAACAAAAAACCCCCAACAACACAAAAAGAGAAAAGAAAGAAAATAAGCATTTTTCTTCTGTTACTGTGGTGAGTTGACCCTGCTGGATGCCAGGTGCCCACCAACACTGCACTATTACTCCACTCCTCAGCTGGGTAGGGGAAGGAGAAAAGATATAAGGAAAGGCTAGTGGGTCAAGATAAGGACAGAGAGAGATCACTCACCAGTTACCATCACAGACAAAACAGACTCAACTTTGGGAAATTAGTTTATTACTCATCAAAGCAGAGTAGGATAAACAGAAATAAAAGCAAATCTTAAAAATAGCTTCCTCCTACCACTCCCTTCTTCCCAGGCTTAACTTCACTCCAGAATTCTTTATCTCCACCTCTACACTGGTGCAGAGGGATGGGGAATGGGGGTTGAGGTCAGTTCATCACACATTGTCCCTTCTGCTCCTTCCTCCTCAAGGGAAGGAATCCTCACACTCTTCCCCTGCTCCATTGTGGGGTCCCTTCCATGGCAGACAGTGCCCCATGAATGACTACGACATGAGTCCTTCCCTCTGGCTCCAGTTTTTCATGAGCTGCTCCTGTGTGGGTCCCTTTCCACAGGGTGCAGCCCTTCAGGAACAGACTGCTTCAGCATGGATCCCCCATGGGGTCACACATTCTATTAGAAAAATTTCTCCAGTGTGGGCTCCTCTCTTCACAGGTCCTGCCAGGAGCCTGCAGACTTCCCATGGGGTCACAGCCTCCTTTGGTCATCCACCTGCTCCAGTGTGGAGTCCCTTAGGGACTGGAGGTGAGTATTTGCTCCACCATGGACCTCCATGGGCTGCATGGGGACAGTCTGCCACAAGATGGTCTTCTTCACCACCTGCAGGGGAATCTCTGCTCTGGTGCTCAGAGCACCTCCTTCCCCTCTTTCTCCACTGACCTTGGTGCAGAGTTGTTTTGCTTGCATATTCTCACTCCTCTGTTCCCTGTCTGAAGTTGTTCCTGTGCAGTAAATTTCCCCTTCTTAAATCTGCTATCTCAAGGTGCTACCACAACAACTGATGGGCTTGGCCTTGGCCAGCGTCAGGTCTTGGAGCCAGCTGGCATCAAACATGAGGGAAGGGAGCTTCTTACAGAAGTCACCCCCATAGCTACCCTCACTAACAAAATCCTGCCACGCAAACACAATACACTTACACATATATGTGTATTACATGCATACACTGGATTAATTATATCATTAGCTGAAGACTTAGTAAAGCTATGCAGAAACTTTTTCTCTCTTATAACAAAATTGTTTATTTACACCAAATAATTTCAGATTTGAACTCTAATCAAATGCACCTAGTTTGGGATTTTATATTATTTTGATAATACTTATAACCACAGGAACCAAGTTCCTTTGGGGATGAATAATAGGTAACTTCTCAAACAGTTTCTAAAATCACTGGGATTACTACTGTTAGAAAATTCTATTTAGTCTGGAATGAAAAGAGAGCCAGCATCCATCTTTCTATATATGTCTGGAACTTGTCAGAATTGATAACCTGAGCCAAATTCAAACCTGTGTCATGCTAGTGTCTTTAGCAGGGACATATTTACCCAACTGTCTCTGACTGTTGTGAAAGACAAGAAAATTTACTCATACCATAAGAATCTTAAAAATAGCCTTACAGAAGAGTAACAGAGTGTACTATTCCATTAGGAAAAATGCATTCTCAAGGTTTCAGGGTGTTGGTTTCTAGGTAAAAATGTCTGGAATAACACTAAATGCAGTCAGAGCAGATGGTTTCAAAGTTATTTTTTAACGGAGGTGTCCCTACAAAATTTTTCTACTCAATTTGCTTGAGTACACACAGATTAGTGTGTTGTTTGACTAGTGAAAAAGTGAGACTTGTGGACTAATTCCTCAGTAAAATATTTTCCTCTTTTTGCCCCAGAGTGTGCCAGGTCCATGTTTGTTTCCTCTTCTTCATAATACCTTCCTTTTATGTATCCTCTCACCTAAAAGTAACCAGTTCTTAAGTCTCGCCTGTGCCCCCTTTCTCAACACCTTTGGGCCACCCTCACAGTGTTTGGGACCCATGTGAAGGAACAGCTTTCAGTGGCTAGCAAAGACTGGTGATAGATATAGGTAACCTACTCCTTACCAAGCATGGCTAAAAGAGAACTGATTTCTCATGCTGTAATGTCAAGAAAACGAAGTGAAAGGAGGGTTTTTTCCAATGTCCACCAAGTACTGGGCTGTCCTGGATCTGGGCAGAGTAGAAATGATGCAGAGGTACCTCATGCTATGAGGAGATGCTTGCTGACTGAACCATCTGGAGAGTCCTCTACAGAGGAGTGGGTACTGGGTTGCTTAGTTCTAATCTTTAAACAGATTAATATGCAAAACTGCCAGTGTTAATAGAGAAAGCACTTTTGTGCAGGCTTAAAAAAATGTTCCTTGTCTCCTAATACCAGTGTTGGGACTGTGTTGCTAAGGTACAATGTGTTAAAGACAATGATTGTGTTCTGAGGTATAAGAAGTTTTTCAGTAAATGCAGAAAACTTTCAAATCCCAGACATCAAAGAGTCAATTTTTTAAATCATAATTTTAAAAGAAATTAAATATGACTGTGACAAGACACACTGGTTGGATCCTCTGACTATAGGAGAAAATTTATATAGAGTATACATTCAATATGCCTAGAGTCAGGGGGAGCACCACTGGTAATGTACTTTAAATTACTTACTTTACATAAAATATATAAGAAGCAATTAATGGTATGGAGCAAACATATAAAATACTATGTCAGCATTTTAGGAGCTGCATGCACAGGGAAGCAGTTCTAGTACCGCAGGAAAAGGTCTATAACAGAAAACAAAACATGGTGCCTACAGATGATATAATGCATTTCTGAGAGGTCCAAATATCCAGTTTCATGCTGTTAGTTTTTATGTAACAACATACTGGCAAGGTTAGTTAACAATGTCATGAAGCAACAAAAATATCTGGCTCTTCACTTTTCTTTCTGGTTCTGAGTTTCATTGGCCATATAAGATATGCTATGACACACTACAAAGTATTCTCTGGACAACTGGAAAACTACCCTAAATCTCTTGCTGACACCTCTTTTAAATTATGCTTTTCTGTTTCATTTATCAAGGAATTGTATGATGCTATTAAAAATGTCCAAATTAATTTTCACAAATTTGACTACTTCCTTCATTTTTGTGGTCAAGAGATTGTCATCATATGCTGTGAAATATGTTCAGTAGTGATATCAACATTTACTACATTAGCTAAATAATGAAAGAAGTTTTTGAATGGGGAACAGCTGATGCACCTTGAAGAAAAATGTACTCAATGGTGAACCCTACAGCCTTGTTCTTCAGCCACACAGAGAAGGGGAGCCGGTCACTGCACACTGCATCTCCCTTTTGTCTTTGTGGACCTATTTCCTCCACAGAAAATGAGGGGAATATGTTGTGAACCTACTGTTTATCTTCATGTGTAATAAGTTAGTATTTGAGTGCATACAGGAACTTCCTGGGACTCACAGTGTAAATGCTGGCTGTATAGGCTGTCTCAGAAACATTATTCACAGGTAAAAACCAGTTCTACAGGTCAAGTAAGTTTATTGGTGATTATTATATTTTATTACTGATCCTGAATTCTTATTACACTTGAACTTTTGATTTATCCACTGAAAAGCCCTTCTCTACAGAAAAAAAAGAAAAAAAAAATGTCTTCATGGCAAAATTTTTTGGTCAACTGACATTTCTACTATAACTACTATAAACCTTTCTATTAAAAAGAAACAGTAGAACTGAGTGGAAAAAATATAGTTCCAAGCATAAGACAATTCCTGTATAAATGGATGGCATCACATCTAAGATGATCACATATTAAAGCTAAGTGGACATATAAGTCCTCT